ATAACTGAAAATAAGTCAATCTATGGCAAGATTAAACAAAAAAAAAGAGTAAGGACACAGTGTTAGGGACAAGAAAGCAGCTCATTATTACAGAGATAGCAGGTATTATAAAAGAATCCTATGAACAACTTCACGCCAATAATTTGGATAGGAGAATTTCCCAGAGTGTGAGAAGGGTAGATGAGGTACGAGTTAATGGGAGTCAAATCAGACAGGGCCTAAGGCAAGCTGAATTTCAGTTTCATCTGGAAGGAAACAGAGCCATGGCAGGGATCGGAGCAAGGGAACTTCTTTAGTTATACTGGAGGTGCCTGTGGAACATCGGAGGAGAGAAAGATGCAGAAGGTGGCCACAAATTTAGGCCTGGAGCTCACTGAGGTCTGAGCTGGAGAGAAAACTCCTTCTTGCCACCGTCATGACAAAACATGCAGTCCATTAACCCAACTACTAAGCCCCTGGAGCCTTGAGGTGGAGAGAAGGGAAGGCTGAGGGTGACTGCGTGGGGCATGGCAAGAGGCACTGTACATGAGCACCCAACAGAAGGGTCTGGGTGCTGCTGTGGTCAGAAGACTGATGTGGGAACCACCCCCATCAACTCAAACCAGTGGTTCCTTCACTTTGGAGCCGGATGTCTTTTGAGAATCCGTGGAAAATGCTGGCCATCCCACTCCACCAACGCCAATCCCACATCACTTAGCAAACACGCTATGGGATCCAGTCTCAGTTAACAGCCCCACCTTCAACGAGGAGGAGAGAGAGAGAGTGCGTGGGTCTGGATGGGACTCGGCACACCCAAAGTGGGGACTGTTGGGGCAGGTGACAAATGGCCTCCTGAAGAAGTGAACATCAGAGAAGAGGTCCAAGGTTATTAGGGCCCACTGGACACACTTCCCAACACTGAGAACTGAGAGGTATTCTGGGATGGATGCCATCTGGAAGAGGTGGACAGTGTGGAGTGGGGGGGCAAGTTAAGGACTAGAGGCCCTTCCTCCTGTGGGAACTGTCTCCACTCATCCTCACCAGATTGGCCACATTGTCGGGCGTTAGGAGAGGCTGCAGGAACTCGGCTGTGATGTCTGTGTCTGACTGGCCTGAGATCTGAGCAGAGGCCTTGGAGGTCCCCGACGGGCCTGGCTCCAAATCCTTGTCTTCGTCATCTTCCCCCAGGTTGGGCTCTGGAATAGAGAAGGAGATAAGATGCTGGCTCTAGAAAGAAAAGCAGGTCCTTCCTCCCAGGCAGCCTCAGCAAACAAGAGTAGTGCAATGCATAAAGACCTGGGCTGCAGCCCTGATTCTGTTGTCAAAGTGCCATATGACCCTAGGGAATTACCTGTCTCTCTCCAGGCTTCCGTTCTCCTCATCTGGGAAGTGGGAATAGGCCATACTAGCCCAGCCGATCACATTAAGCTCCAAGATTAAAAGGTTAACTAATAATTTCAGAGTTTCTTGTTTAAAAACCTGTCTTTGAAATAGTGTTCCTCACTAGGAATCAGGAAAATGTAAAAACCTAGTAAGATAGCATTTTTGCCTATATGATTGACAAACAATAAAAAGGCTGATGATCACAGTTGTTAGTCGGGGCGTAGACTGCGGAAATGTAAACTAATAGGCTTTTTGGAAGGGAAATTTGACAGGTGGTCAAAATTTTAAACACACACACCTCTTTGACACAGCAATTCCATTTCTGGATGTCTACCCTAAAAACACATTCACACATACATCTAAGGTAAAATGTACAGAGAATTCATGGCAGCAATGATTGTCCAGAGAGACGGCACATGATCTCCATCAGTAACAGGCTAATTAAATACAGTACAGTGCTAAATAAGTACAGTGGCTCTAGCTCAAGGGAAAAAACTAATAATTTGAACCTTAAAGAAAAAGCTGTATGTACAAAGATGTTCCTCCAAGCAGTATTTATAAAAGTGGAAAAGCTGAAATGTTCAATAGGGTGATGATTTAAGTAGATTAGGGCAAAAATATGAAACGCAGTCTTTAAAAAAGTTTGCAACACATGTAATAAAGAACTGGTCTCGTGCATTAACCAAGAGCATTGTAATTCAATCACAAAAAGTCAACCCAATAAAACAGGCACTCCACAGAAATGCAAATGGCTAATAAATGTAAAACAATGTGCAGCCTGACTCCAATATGTGCAAGAAAGTAATTCAAACCTAGGGTACCGTTTCTATGCAGCAGATTTACAAACTGTCCAGGGCTGGTAGGCGCGGGGCAGCTGCTCACACACTGCTGGGCTGGCATGCACCAGAGGAGTATTTTTGGAAAACAGCTGGCAAGGGCTATCACCAATTTAAAAATGCACCCAGTAGCAAGGGCCACGTTCAGTGCTCAGATCTGGATTCCTGAAATTGTTCCCTACTTAACAAGAAACCAGCGCTCCTTAGAGAAATGGCTGAGTCCAAGGCTGCGGTAAGGAAAGTACAGGATGTCTAGATTATCTTGTTAAGCCTTAAAATCAGAAATGCTCAAAAAAAAATATATGGGACACATTAGAAGGACATAGGAGCCACGTCAAAGGCTCTCACTGGCTAAATATGAGGCAACTTGAGCAACAAAATGAGTAACAACAGCAACGGATTACAGCCCAAAGAATAAATAAGAATCCCCAAGAATCCCCACTGATAACAGAGGAGGGAGAAGAAAAGAAAGGTCTTCCTGATAACAGAATGCCAACTAAAAAATGTAGAAGGCAGTCTTTTCATAACCATTATGGCAGTGACAGATGCAGGCACCGATGGTCAATGGACGCTAACACCACGGGGAGAAAGTACGAAGAGGAACAGGTATTTTCCATACTTTCAAGTATTTCCCTCAGCTTATCATTTACAAAGGGGAAAAAAAGTACTTTGCACTAGAGGAACATGGTGGATACCCCGTCAATTGATCACGTGACCCAAGTGCCCGTCACCAATAATGGGACAAGTTGGTAACATGGGCCTCCTCATACCACCGAGGGCTCAGGGCATCACTTTCTGCCGTGTTCCTGTCAAAGGTGCAGAACCCGAACCCAGTGAGGAGGCAAGAGCAGACAGACCCAGGGCAGCCTTCGAGCGGACAGCTGTCCGAGGCTCTTCACGACGTTAGGATCGTGAAACAAAGGCAGGCGAGGAACTGATCTGGGAGACGAAGGGGGCGTGACAACTAAACGCGCTGAGTGGTTCCACCCCATAGAGGGCACACAGCGGTTTTCAGTATCCTTGTGACCTAACTGCAAGGGCAAAATTATTTCAAAATAAAATGTTTAAAGAAATAGAAAGTAAAAATTGGTGGGCAAAAACTAACTTTAAACAGGCAAACCTTTTACCTCACCAGTCCCACTGCCAGGAATTCGCCCAACAACTGGACATGCACTATTACAGCAATCTTTATGCTCAAAAAACATGGACGCAAGCAGAATGTCCATCAACAGGGGGGCTGGTTAAAGAGGGTCAATTCACATGCACTGTTACACCACCTTTAGAAGGACACAGTGGATTTCTATGTGCAGAGACAGAAGGGCTCCAAGATTATTACCAAACAAAGTACAGAACACGCAGTTTTGTATGCTTAATAATGGGTCAAAAAATCGATTCCTACCTCAGTTCTAATATCAAAAAATTCCTTTTTTAAAAAAATGAAAAACAATCAAATATTCTGGAAGCAAAAAACATGATTTTAAAGAAATTTTTTGGAGTGAGAAAGGCTCCCATGATTGACACTACGGATAAATAATACAACCACTAAAAAACTACTTCAAAATGAAAATCCACTTATCAATCAAACAGAGGAAAGATGAACTCTACACATAGAAGGCACTTCTGAAAGAAAACCTAAGTTTCCTTACTACTTGCGGAATGGTTACTTTTGGGGAAAGGGATAAGAGGGGAGACAATTTTCATTCTGGTTTTGTAGAATTTAAATGATTCATAAATAGTTCTAAGTATATTATATACCTTAATAATTCCATTTATCATTTATATCATACTTATACAATGTAATTTATAATACAGGATTAGCAGAAATTAAATTTATAGCTTCAACATTTTAATTATTTACTACTATTAATATCAGCAGGGAGTATAGTATTTACTAATACTATCAGTAACTGCTAGTTATTTATTAATCGCTCCCTGCCCCCACCTCCCGCCAGGCCTGACGGGCTCCACAGCTCACCGAGCTTCATCTTCTTGAGTGTGGGGTCCGAGTCGTCCCGGGGCCGCTTGCGGGCGTCCTTGCTGCTGGGCATATTGCGGGCGATCTCCGCCTGGGGTGTGCCCAGGTCCACCAGCAGGGTGGTGATCTGGGCCTGGAACTCCAAGGAGGCCGGGTGCTTCAGCACATTCAACAGGTGCAACTTGAGGTTCTTGCGAACGCTGCTCACCTGAGACTTGGCCAGGGTTGGGGGCAGGTTGGCTGTGAGGGAAGAGGCGGGAGCTTCGGCTGTGGGCAGAGCACACGGGGCCAGGCCCTGCTAGGCCTGGGCAGTGGTTGCCGCCATGTCCTAGAAAAGTTTCTTTACCGTCAGATCTACTGTGTGGCCTTCCCCCTGTACAAGCTGAGGCTTAAAACCCTTGAGAGTTCTCCATCAGTATTAGTCAACCTTAAAACAGAGAAAAACGCATTCTCCCTTTTATTAAACATAAAATCCCATCTCCCTCCATCTCTGGTCCGCAAGACTGGGGAAGGCTATGATCGCCACCTTCATCTTCAGAATGTCCCAAATCAACTGCCGCAACAGTTCGTCACTGGTCCCTGCCACTAGAATGGCTTTCTAATGTTTAAGAGTCACCCTGATGCGCGAGCGTCCTCCACGCCACAGCGAAGGAGGCCGCCTGTAACTGTGCCTGCCTGCCGTCCTTGCCCCCTTCCTCAGCCAACAACGCTGGGTTTTCCTCTGAGGGAACCACCCAGGCTCCTTCTCAGTCCAGGTGGGCCACAGACTCAGAGCCAGTAAGAACACTGCGATCCCTCGGCCACTGTGATTGGTTCAGAGTCAGGCTTGTAATCCCTTGGCTAATCAGAAACAATGAGTGTCAACCCTTGGACTTCTCTTCCCCCTAGGGTTGCCAAGGGGATAGAATGGAAGCTCAAAGCTGTCCGAGGCCATCTTTGCTATCCCAGAGAAAGAGACACAGAGCAAAGCCAAAAGAGAGACAAGTAAGAGCCAAGAGATGGAGACAGAGCCACGAAACGCACACACTCATGCCTGAACCCCACTCTTTTCAGTTTCACACATGCACAAAAGCAGAGAAAACAGTATAATGAATCACCATGTACCCATCAACATTTTCCTTATCTTGGCACATTTGTCCTTGCTTTTTTGAGGAAGGAGGGTGAGGGAGAACTCTTTTACTTTTAAGGTATTTCACAGACATCATGTCATCTCACCCACACATACCTCAATATTAAAACCCAGCTCTGAACCAGATATTTGTCACATGCAACCAAAAGATTCCTATCTAGCAACTCCTTCCTTACACCCACGACCTACTGGATTGATGATTAATACCTGAGGGGCCCACTACCTCATGCTTCCTCAGGAAAGAGAAGACTGACCAGTGGAGAGACAGAAGGGAGAGGATCAACCTACCATGCAGGGTTTCATAGGCCTGGATCACCTCAGACATGAACATGGGCCTCTGGCGAGCGATATTGGCAAGGGAGCCCAGCGCAGTGGTCAGGTTGATGGAGGAGATGGCGGGGTGCACCATGAACTTGAGCAGCTGCTCCAAAGCTGCCTTGCCCTCTTCCCATAGCACATCTAATGAGGAAGAGAAGATAATCAGTTAGTAGGGACCTTTCTCCTGATCTCTGGAGGAAGCAGCCTTTGGGGCCAAAAGGAAAAAAATTCTTCTACATGGATGGCTATGAATGGCTGAAAAAAACCCCAAAAAACAGAAAACTCAGTGGCTGAGACCTATGAGACTATTAATGAGTGTAAAAATTCAGAGATGGCGCTCAAAGCATGGGTTTTCAATAATGAAAAACTAGAAATAATTTTAAATATCAAACTATAGAAATCTGTATGAACTATGTTGATATAAAGCTTTGGATATGTATACAGTTGACCCTTGAACAATTCAGGGGCTGGGACACTGACCCCCATACAGTCAAAAATCTGCATGTAATTTTTGATTCCCCAAAAACTTAACTATTAAGAGCCTACTACTGACTGGAAGCCTTACCAAGAAGGTAATTAAATCATATTTTGTATGTTACATGTATTATATACTGTATTCTTACAATAAAGTAGGCTAAAGAAAATGTTAAGAAAATCCACTTACATTTACAGAACTGTCCTGTATTTATTGATACCATAAGTTTACACTGTGTTTATAAGATGAATTATCTTTCATCAAAACTGTCATCAAAAGACCCACATCAGTATTGTCTTATACAACACAAAGCACTATGTTATATTTATTATTAACTCTAGACATCAAAGATGAAAAGAAAATGTGAAAAATAAATTCATATTGATTTACAAGTATAATGACTCATGCACTGATAATGAAGCAGCAGCAATATGACTGCTTTGTGGCAGCCTGGTGTAACCGACAGGACTGCTTCACAGTAGCCTAGTCTATATACACTTATGAATAGTCATAAAACTGTTACGGCATGCAGCATTACAATCATATTCCCAACCCAGTAATGGTAACATCACGTTGTTTAAAAAAACACTTACATGTGATGATAGGCTGTTGTGCAGTGTCTCCAATTACGAAAAAAAAAGAGGCATACTGTACAATAATGTGATTCTTTGCAAGCCAAGCTATTAAACAGTAAGAAAACCAACACAGCATTCATTAATTTTATACTAAATACCACATACCTCACGCCTGTGTAAGGACAAGCTATTCACCTCCATAGAAGTCCTGCACACCACGTTCTACACAATGGACACTTAGGCGTTGGTAACGACGACACAAAAACGTCTCACACACTTCTGGGCAGTTATCAGACCTTCGCACGAAGACACTCACATACACCACAGATGACCTTACTCACTGTATGGCATGATGATTGTTTACTATTCAGTAAGTGGATGTGGACCTTCATACAGGTCTTCATCCTTGTTGCCTACATGTTGCACAGGCTGAGGAGGAGGAGGGATGGCAGACACCGCAGAGGCAGAGAGGTGGAAGGGGAGGCAGGCGAGGCACCACCTTGGTGTAACCTCGTGGAAATACATCATAATTTCTGACTTTTTTGCTTTTTCATCTCTCTAAAAATACTTCTGTATGGTACCAATCCTCCTTCCGTGTTTGCTTCAGTTTTGGTGCCCATATCACAGAAGGAGCCACGTTGCAGAAGAAATTGAAGTTGTCTTGAATGACTGGAACCCTTCTGCCAGATGGTCTAATTAGTTGATTTGTCTTCTGGCACTGCTTCTACATCTTCGCCCTCATCGCCTGGCACTGGTTTGGACGCACTTGTCTCCACCAAGTCATCTGCTAATTCCTCTGGTGTGGTGCCCATTAGCTCTTGAATTTCTTCAAGATCCGTATCTTGAAAACTTTCACCCCTCCTCTTTTTTGTCATATCTGTAATCTCTTTCATGATTCCTTTGATTTGCACAGGTAAATCCTGTGAAGTCACGCGCAGCACGTGGACAGTTTTCTCCAGTAGGAACTGTTTCGAGCTTGACAGTTTCCATTGCTTTTTCTCTAACAATGGCATCTTCAGTGGCGTAATCCTTCCAGACTTACATGATGTTCTCTCTATCAGGGTTCTCTTCCATAGCTTTGCCAATCCTTTCCAGAGTACTGTGTTAATGAACCTTAAAGATCCTTACAACCCCCTAATCTAAAAGCGGAATTAGAGATGTGTTTGGAAGCAAATAGACTACTTTGATGCTTTCAGTGTTGAATTCATGGGGTTCCAGGTGGCCCGGGGCATTGTTCAACATCAAAAGAACTTTAAAAGGCAGTCTCTTATTGGCAAGGTACTTCCTGACTTCAGAGACAATGTGCTGATGGAACCAATACAGAAAAAGGGTTCTCAATATACAGGCCTTCTTGCACAACCACAAGACTGGCAAGCTGGTGTTTATCTTTGCCCTCCACGGTTAGCAGCTTTACAGGTAAAGACAGTTCTGATCGTAAACCCGACTGCATTTGCACCAAACAGTAGTTAGCCTATTTCTTTCCTTAAATTCTAGTGCTCACTTCTCTTCTTTACTAATTAATGTCCTTTGTGGATTTTTTTCCCCCCCAGAATAAGGTATTTTGTCTGCATTCAAAACCTGTTCAGGCCAAGTATCATTTCTCCTCAACGATTTTCTTAATGGCATCTGGGAATTTACCTGTTGCCTCTTGGTAGGCAGAAGTTGCTTCTCCTGTTATCTTGACATTTTTAAGCCAAACCTGTTTCTAAAATTATCAAACCATCCTTTGTTGGCCTAAAATTCTCCAGCTTTAGATCCTTCACCTTCCTTTTGTTTTATGTTGTCATCCAGACTTCAATTTTTCTTGAGACTTCAATTTTTCTTGAATAATATTAGAGTCTATAGTTATGCTTTCCTTATAGCAATCCCGCATCCACATATAAGCTGCATTTTCAATACAAAATAAAGAGTATTCTGCAAAGAGTGCAAGGTTTTCATACCTACTGGCATAGGTGCAATGGCTTCATGCATGTCCTTTAACAATGGTCCTTAACACAGGGTTCACTTATCTTGAAATGGTGGGCAACTGCAGCCGCAGCCCTCAATCTATGCTACATATTAAGCATCTTCTTGTGGTGCCATGACTTCCAGCATCACTAGGGGCGCTTCGTATGGGCCCCGAGGTGTTAGTCAAGGTTTATGACATTGCATTGCACACAATGAAAAACACGCGAGAGTCGCAAAAGATCACTTTCCACTGTAATACACAGTTTACTAGAGAGATGATTAAGCGTCACTGGCATCACACGGCGTTTTAAGTGGATACTCACAAAACCTGAGCTCACCACAAAGCAACAGGATGTGGCTACAAAATTACTGCAGTACTACAGCATGTACTACAGTTAATCTTACAGTTATGACTTAACATTGCATCTTCACATTTCTCATCACTGCAAATGGCACCACGCATGGTCTGTGTTTATGTGCCTAAGTTTTGATAAATTCGAACTTTTAATAATAGATTTGTGTATGTTTTATGGTAGTATGTAGTAAATGAAACTAGTATCTATGCATTCGTGACATACCTAACATTTTCTTTTTTCTTTTTATATTTCTAGGCTACATGCTTTGTCTGCTATTTTTTCAAATCTCCAAAAAATTTTCTAATATATTTACTGAAAAAAGTCCTCATATAAGCAGACCCAGCAGTTTAAACCCATGTTGTTCAAGAGTCAGCTGTGCATGTTACATCATTCTATGTTGCCAGACAGTCACTACATCAGTTGGGGTGAGGATTTAATAATGTATATGACTGTCAAGACACTATGTTGTATGCTTGAAATCAATATAATACTGGATATGAACTATACTTCAATAAAAAAATACCCCCCAAAAAAGTCAGCTATATATATGTACATGCGCATAGACAAAGAACTCAAAGTCTTTGGTACCACCACTCTCTCTGATCCAGTCTCCAAAAATGTAATCCTTAACAACTTTGGTGGATGCCTTCTCTGACATTTTCTATGCAACAACATACGGGATGCCACATTATTTAAAACAGCGAATAAAAAATAGACTGTGATGCAACCATACTATGGAATGCTGTGTAGCACCTGAATGTGACTTTGATAGGGAAAGATGCAACTTAATATTGTTGAGTCCAAAACGTTGCCAAACAATATATAAGAATAATATTTGTGGAATGCTTACTATTTCAGCCATGTTAACTTACCAAATGCTTACACCTACACCCTAAAATTACATGCCCTAAAAATGACCCCTAATTTACCAAAGAAGAAACAGGCTCAGAGAGAACAGGTCGCTTGCCCAATGGCAGAGCAGAGATTCAAACACAAACCATTGTACTCTAATGCCTCTCAGATGAAAACAGAAAGCATAGTTCTGTTTTTTGTAAATAAAATAGAGAACAAATGCAGACACTATGAATATATATACAAATATCAACCTCTACATAGAGAAGGTCTGGAAGGAAACAGTATTCTTAGCAGCATCTATGTCTAGGAAGAAAGACTGGGGGAGGACATATTTTCCCTTCGTACCCCTCTATATTTATAGCTTAACACTTAAATAGTATGCATGTACTATTTTTATAATTTGTAATTAAGAAAACCGTAAAACTAGCTAGCATTTACGAAGCGCTCACATCCTCGTGGAACCTTATCACAAACCCATGAAAGGGGTTCTACCATCACCCACCTCCACTTTACAAAAAGAAGTTCAGAGAGAAATAACTTGCCCAAGTGCACACAGTGAGTAAGCGGTGAAGCTGGGACCTGAACTCGGCATCAGCACTCTCAGTCCCTGCACTACCCTGCCCCAAGAGAATAAGAGCCGCGAAGGACAGGTGGGGAGCGGGGGAGGAAGGCCAGTGGGGTGACTAACAAATGGCACCAGATGATGATCGGCGGCACTCACTGTACTGGATGTAGGGGTGGTCACGAGGGATACGGTCCAGGCTGATGTCATGCTCCTGGCGTCGGGGCACCTCCGAGTCAGCCATACGGGGCGACAGGGTGATGATGAGGCCCTCCACAAACTTGATGGCATGGATGCGGATGCCGTCGTTGTCAGAGTCCAACAGCAGGATGATGTCCCCAGCCATGGCAGACACCATGTCCCAGCAGGCCTCCTGGAGCTCGCTGATGACCCGTGACTTCACCATCCACTGCAAGTGGGCCAGGGCGGGATGGACAGACAGACAGATAAGACATCAACTGCCAACTCTACCCACAAATCCATAAATAGTGACAAATATATTCATTTGGGAAATATTTACTGAATTCCAACTTGTCCCCAGCCCCATGCTAGGTGATGCCAGGGACGGGACCCAGTGGTGACTAACACAGGTCTGGTCCTGCCCTCATGAGGTTACAGACAATGACAACCAGACTGATGAAGGCTCAAATCTTAAGACAAAGTAATAACAATGCTGACCTCACAAGGTGGCAGCAGAGTTTAAATGGATTCATTCATTTCATTAACACTAATGATCACATCCTAGGGTGCTCTTTTTCTTACAGTACTTAGGACAGTCAATTAACGTTTCCGTGACTCTGTTTAGGGTTTGTCTCCCTTACGGGGCCGTGAGCACCGTGAAAGCAGGACCTGGCCCATCCTGGTCACAGAGAAGGTACCCAGGGAATGTTTCCTGACGGCACAAATGAATCAATGGGTAGATGGAAGGATGGGTTGTGGCAATTCCCTAACTGTGAGACACCATTAGATACCCTTGTTGTCTCTTCTCAAAGGTCAACAGCACATCTGTCCATAAAAGAATGTGATCCACCCCTGTTTTTGGACTCTCCCTGGTCAGGATGAGACCTGCCCGATTAGGATGCCCCCAGCTGGGGAGGGGGCCCTTACCTGCAGTGCCACCTTATAGAGCTGAGTCATGGTGAGGATGGCCTTCTTCACCACATTCACATTCTCATCCCTCAAGAGCATGTTGAGGTTGGCGATCAGTTTCAGCAGTAACTCAATGTCTCGCTTGCTGGGGGATGGAGGAAAAAGGGCAGGGTCCAGGTGATCTTTGGGTAGCTGACAGGACACTGGGGTCCGTAAGGAAAGGGAAATCAGGGGAGTCACTGTGTCAGGAGGCTGGAATGGAGGCAGGCAAAGTCAGAGAGCGAACCTGTCGTTTGCCAGCACATCCTGAAGCGGAGAACAATGCTGGGGACCCCTGGATGTGGCCTCTCCTGAACCCTCTATGCAGGCTGGTCCTGCACCCACCACTCCATTGCTCTAGGGCCCTGCGGCTCACGTAAGGGGCAGCAGAGCCAGACAACTGTGTGAGTCCTGACAAGCTACTTCCTCTCATTCAGACTGGTACCCACCTAACAGCTTGTGAAAACTGTAACAGTACATAGAAAGCGCTTAGAACAGTGCGGAGAGCATTCAGTAAATATTAGCCATTATTAAAGCACTTCACTTTACATAATCATTACTTTTGTTTACTAATTTAAGTCTGAGGGCTCTGAAGGTGGGGACCCCTTCCAGTTGAGTACCGGCAGAGTCTCCAAGTCTCCTTTTTTTGTTGAAGGAAAGAATGAAAGGCCTCCAGTAAATATTCAAGAAGGCCATACTTAGAATTCCGAATAGGAACATAATTTTCACAGCATGTTACAATCTGAAGTTAAATATCACGGCTGTCGAGTAAAAATTATGAAACTCAACTGTGAGCTACATGAAGGCGGAAACAATGTTTCTACTCGTTATATTCTTATAGCCTGACACAAATACCTGGCACAAAGGCATAGGACACAAATCTTTTGCACAAGTAGTTCTTGCAAACTCAGAAGATTTACCACAAATTCTCCTAGAAAAAGCAGAGAGTGAGAATTTGGGCAATGGTATTACAGACATGGGGTAAGAATCCCAGCCCTGCCACGTACTAGCTGTGTGACATTAAGAATTCACTTCACTTCTCTGACCCAGTTTTGTGTTCAAATGGGCCAAACAACTTATCCAGGGTTATTCTGAGGATTGAATAACATAGAATTTAGTAAAGTGACTGACAAATAGAAAACAGTCACTAAATTGGGGTTCTTTTATTTTCTCATAGTCACAAAGCATCCAGTAAATGTTTATTGAACAAATGACTCAGCTTGAACAAGTCACTTAACCCTTCTGAGCTTCAGTTTCCTTTTCTGTAAAAGGAGGATAACAAGGTCTCCATCCCCAAGGCCTCTGTGAGGATTACAGGGAGTAAGAGAGAACATGATTTAATACAGTGCATGACAGAAGCAACCCATGTGGTTACTATGGATTAGATTCCTGTTCAATGAATACTAACTCAGCCTGTCCTATGTGCCAACACTGTCCTAGACACCAGGATACAGTGGTCCACGATACAGAAAAGTCCTGCCCTCATAGAACTGATACTTTTGTGGACCTGGGAGGGAGTGTCCCTTGCATGCACAGCAAGTGGAGAGGCTGTGAAGAACAGTGTTTTTTTGGGGGAATAACAGGGAGGCCGGAGGACATGAGTGAAGATCAAAGAGGCCACCAGGAGATGAGGCGCAAGTAAGGAGCTTGGCTTTCAATCTAAGCAGGCCAGAGGAGGTCTGAGAGTCAGGGAGCGCCAAGGTAAGATTATGTCTTAGCAGGATCACTCTGGCTGCTGTGTACGAGAGAGGAAGCAGGGAGTGTACGGTGTTTCCTTCTGGGGGATAAAAATGTTTAAGAACTAGATTGTGAATGTGTAAATGCCACTGAATCGGTCACTTCAAAATAGTTAATTTTATGTGAATGTGAATTAAACAAAGAAGAGAGTGCTAAGAGGGCAGCCACTGCAGTCGCCTAGGCAGGGGATGGTGGCTTCGAGCAGCATAACATTATAGCAAGGGGAACGGCTGGAAAACGGCCAGGTGCTGTTTACATTTTGAAGGTAGAGCTAACAGCCCTTACTGATGATGGAGAAGGTAAGCGTGAGAGAGGCAGTGGAATCACACATGACTCCAGGCTTTCGACCTTACGAAACATTTGCTGGGGAGTCAGTGTGCAGGAGGGACACTGGGCCTCAGAGGCAGAGGGCAGGACTCTCAGGGCAGGGCCAGGGTGGGAGCTGAAGCGGCGACTCCACCGGGGGTGCTGCCAGGGCTTCCTGCCTCTCCCCCTACCATGCCTCCTCGATGAAGCCGATGACAAATTTGCGCACTTCAATGGACTTGTCTGCTTGGAAAGCGATGATCTCCTGCCAATATCAGCAAGAAGGCGGGTCAGGGTTGCACCAGGATCCGTACCCTGCCCCTATACCCACCCCCTTTCTCTCCTGTCGGTCACTCACATCCAGGAAGTTGTCCAGGAGTGTGGGATCTTTGTTGATGATCAGTTCCTGGACCTGGAAGGAGATTGGGCATGGGGAGGAGGAACACACATATAAAACCAGAGTCCAATCAGGCAGATGGGAGCATGTGGGGGGAGACAGCATGGGGGTAGGCGGCAGATGACCTCAGCACAGGTCCTGGCTCTGCCACTCCCTATCGCAGTCTGGGCAAGTGCCTTGCCCTGAGCCTCAGTTCGCTTTTCTGTAAGACGAGGATCTTAAACACCAGCTCACAGGGCTGTGAGGCTTCGGTAAGATCCTACAAGGTACGGGTCCTGGTTGATAGTGGTACACGATACACAAAGGGGTTGAAGGGAAGAGGGAAGTGCTGCAGGACCCCTACCTTCCTGAGGCTCGTCCATCAGTTACCCCCTCTCCTGCAACCCCAACCACAAGGCCACAATGCAGCAGGTGTTTGATGACAGGGAGAACCTATTTCCTGGGGCCCTTGGACCTGCCAAGCTTTGGCAGAAGCCCTTCCCACAGACAGTCTCAGATAAGCCCAGTTCTGGCATAGGGCCTGGCTCCTACTGAGGCAGAGCTGGCTAACCAAGGCCACACACTGAGCAAGTAGCAGAAATGGGGTTCTCACCCAGGAACCTGACCCCCCCACCACAGAACTCCACCTGCCTCCTATTCTGAGCCACATTCAGCGCCCCCATGTCCTCTTCTGCCTTTGCACAGCAGTTGTGCCCTGTGTTCTCCCTCTCTTACTTGGCCTGCTTGTCTCCTTATCCTCCAGGCCTCAGCTCAGATGTCCCCTCTTCCAGAAAGCCCTCCCTGACTCTCCATCCCTAGGCTGGGTCAGGAGCCCACTCTGGGCTCCTCCATCCGGACCCTGCTGACATGGGTTCTGCCCTGCAACCTGCATGCCTTCCCCACCAGATGGGACCCTGGCAGAGAGGGAATACAGAGATTAAGAGCACAGAATTAGGAGATGGGACCCAACTCCTCACTCAGCCAGCTCCTTGCAGCATGACCTTGGGCTTATGATTTAAGTTCTGAGCCTCTGCTTCTTTCTATGTAAAATCAGGATGAAGTTACCTGCCTCACAGAGCTTCTGTGGGAATTAAAAGAGAGAATGCCCGCCCAGCACTGAGATGACAGCAGGAATAGCCCAAGTGCTGAAAAGTGGGCTCTACTGTTAGTACGTGTCTTCTTTTATCACAGGTTCCCATCCTCCCTCCCCCATCCCACTTCGCCCAGCCCCTGACCTGTTTGAGCACTGTGATCTTTGAGTCGTTGGTGATCAGTGCTGCCTGATTCAGGAGATCCACCACCTGGAAGGAGGGGGAGAGGCAGGTGAGGCGCCAGCCTCGCCGGCCCAGCCCCTTCGGCACTCCCTGGGCGTGGGCTGCCCGAAGGCAGGGCTGTGCCTCCCACTCCAAGCCCTTCTCTCCATGCTCACTCTCTCTGAGGTGGTCATGCCATCGATGCCGAGCCCCTCCTCCTGTGTGAAAAACTGGGACGCCACGCTCCGGCGAGTGACGCTGTCCCCACCACTGCCTGCCATAGCTGCTGGCCAGTTCTCCCTGGAGAAGAGGAGGGCTGATGAGGCGCTGAGTGCCTGTGGAGGGGCTGGACCTTCATCCCACCATCCACAAAGGGCTCAACCCTCTCCTCCCGCCGGTCCTGTGTCTGTTGGGTCTTCTGAACCCTCTCCCTCCTCCAGGGCCTGTCTCAGACTGTGTCTGTACATGGAAGTTGTAATTTGGGGAAGATACGTCTCCCAGGTCAGAGGCAGTACCTCGTGTAATACCAAGCCTCACCTCCAGTACCTTAGACGTAGTGGGCTGACCACAAACACCTGCTGAATGACTGAACAAATGAATACACAGCAGCCACCTTGCTGGTCTTAGTGTCTCCCATCTCCATCTGGGCTGCACTAGGGACCAGACACCATAGCCAGCTTCCTAAAACACACCTCTGAGGAACACCAGTCATAGAGTCCTCCACACAGTGTGGACTCACTACATCAGAAAAGGCCTCATTAAGTAAATTATGTTTCGGCCATTTTCTTTAATACTATGGAATTATTTTTTAAAAGGGAATGAGGGAGGGGAGACTTTGGGGTATCTATAAAATATTATGCAACTGTAAAAAAGAATAAGGGAGGGGGAAAAAGTAATGAGGAAAATCTCTATACATTGATAAACAGTGGGCTCCAGCATGTATTAGGTGAAACTGAACAAAGTGGAAGACAATGTTTACTGAGTCTCTTACAAAAGAAATGGAGATATGAAGATAAGCTTAAAAAAAACTGAAAAAGCAGAAGAGGGACGAAACAATATACATATATATATATTTGGTGGATCTCAAATGCATTATCATTATAAAAAGATATCCCTAACAGCCTGTTCCCCCCCACACACACTTCCTCTTTCCTTTTAACAGCTGTATAGAATTTTATCATGTGGATGTTAACCAGTTTTTTTCTGCCAGTCTCCCTATGAAATCGATGCAGTTCAATCCACTTTTGCCAAGTTTGTGTATGTATATACTGAATGACCTGAGGTAAGAAACACACTGGGTCTCAGTTTCCTCCTGTAAAAAACAGGGATGGTAATGTCGTTTACCTCCCAGGACTATTTTGAGTAGCTGAATGAGTACACATAGTAAACGTATAGCTACTACTTTTATGTGCACAGGTAAATGTCTGAAGGATACTGTATAAACTCAGTAATTTGAGGAGGCTAAAGAAGATGCAATTTTTTTTTTTAAACTGAACTTAATATACTCTGCGCAGTAGTGTCTGCTGAATGAATTATACAACAGCCTCCCTCCTCATCTAGTGTTGCTTTATTTTACTTCATGGCATATATTATCATTAACACACTATGTATGATTAAGTTCCAGGGCGGCAGGCATTTGTGTGTATGTGTGTGTGTTCACTTTCCCAGCACGGAACATTATCATCTAAATTATAATAATCAATTATTATCATCTAATAATTGCTCAGTAAATACCTGCTGAGTGAATGCCAAAGGGATTCCTCAATCACTGGACTTAGTATCCCAGCTCTTCAGCTCTAGAATGCTTGAGAAATAAGGGCTTGTATTTATCGAACATGTAATACATGCTGGCCACCACTCTAATACACATATTCACGAAATCTCACAACACCAACCTTTGAGGTAGAAACTATTTTCCAGCTCCATGTTACAGATGAGGAAATGTAATGACCAAGGAGGTAAAGAAAGGAATTGTTTCCCCCCCCAAGTCTGTTAAGGCAAGCCTAGGGATGTGGCCACCCCACAACCAGCATACTGCTGTCCCCATAACATAATTAACCTTTTCATGGCGAATTTTCCACTCTTTACATGATGATATGTTGAGATCCACCAACATTTTCTTACCCTGTGAACGTCCTCTTCCACTTCCTGGTTTATCCTTTTGTTTAACATGTATACATATTTCCCTTTCTTTTGTAAAGAAGGGACCGTGTAATAAACACGGTCTTCCATTTTGTTTTCACTTAATATATGCTGAGGCCCACTCGCTTCATCAGTGCATAGAGATTTTCCCATTCTCCCCACCACTTCCTCTTTCCTTTTTACAGCTGTATAGAATTTGATCATGGGGATGTTAACAGTTTTTTTCTGCCAGTCCCCCTATTAAAGAACTTTTCGGGTGTTTGTAGCTTTTGCTACTACCAACGACCGTTCCCCCTTCCCACCCGCTGTACTCCTTTGGTAGTACCACTGCCCCACTCTAACTGGGGAGTCAGATGACACGCCTCATAGACACAGAGTGGGCCTAGGGGTTACTTCTCATTCACTCTCCGAACATTAACCGGGCGTCTTTAATGTGACCGGCGCTGTACCGGGAACATGCGGTGACCAGCACACACCCAGCCCCGGCCGCCTAGGAGCTCGTGGCCACAAACATAATCAATCAGCCAACAAGTCCAATAACAAATTAGACCACGTGACATACGGAACGGCATAGGAGCCTATGAGAGCGTTTAACAGGAGGACGTCGGGTCAGAGGGCGGGAGAGGAGGACTTCGCAGAGGAAGTGACGTTGGCGCCCAGCCCCAAGATGAATGGGAGGTAGCCAGGCATAATGGGTAAAAGGATGTTGCGGGGATAAGGGGCGGCGTGTGCAAAAATCCCGAGGCGGGAAGGCGCGTGGCGAATTTGAGGAACTGAAAGGCCAGTGTAGCTGTGCTAAACGGGGGACGAGCAGAGGCCGAGCCAAGGCCCGCGGCGAGGACGCGCCTTGGGGTCCACGTTGGAACTTTGCCCTGAGAGCACTAGGGAGACACGGGAGCGTCCTGAGCTGGGGAAGAAGCTAGAGTCCCGAGCATCTCTGCTCTCCTCTCCTTGCAGCGCCCCCACTTCCCTGCCAAAGCCCCTGCCGTTCAAGGTCCCTCCTCCCTTCATCTCCAGGCCCCCACGCCCTCCCCGCTCACCGCGGCGCCGGCCTCCGTCCCCCTCGCGCCCCCTCAGCAGTGCCTCTGCGCGGACGCCGCCGCCATCTTCCGTGCGCTGCTGTGACACTGCGCATGCACCGCGCACGCTGGGTCTCCGGGAAATGGAGTCCACACGTCGGCCCGACCTCTTCCCTACGTCCTCCAACGAGAGCGGCCCTCAGCCCTCCGCAAGACGGCGCCGGGGCGGCCTCGCATTTCCGGCCTTTGAGCGCCATGCCTTTTGGAGAATGTAGTCCCTTAGCGGAGGCACAGGGCGGCAAGAGAGAGAGAGTTCTGGGAAATGGAGTTCACGGTGGCTCGGGGTCCCTGGACGGCTCGTGTCAGAGAAAGTGGGAAACCCGGGCGGCGGAGCTCCTAGGTCTCGAAGGTGGTCCGTTGCCCACTGGGGACTGATCAGAGGCCCCGATCCCCTCCATCTTTGGTCCTAGCCATTTACTCAGCCTGGAGCATTTCCAGCTGTCGGAAGCTTCAGTCTTCCAGTCCGTCCAACGGGAATGTGATTTACAGGGCCTCTTGCCGTTCGGAGTGGCATATTCTGACCTATGGAGTCCACGATCTCTTTGAGTCTTGCTCGCGCAGCGGTCATGCTGGTCTCTGCTCTGCCTATTCGCCTTCTCCTGTGTAGATGATGAAGCCCCCTGGGTGAAAAGGTCCCAGAATTATGCCTTACGGGCCCTTAGTATAAGCAGCGCCACCCACCCATAGCTCCCTCACTCTTCAGCCGCCTCCCGCTCTGGCGTCCCCGGGCTGCGGCTCTCGGCGCCTGAGGTCTATCTCCTCGCAATCCCGCAGGGGGCGCCCCAGTCCGAGCGGGAGGGGAGGCGGGAGGGGAGCCTGGGGCGGGCAGAGGCGGGAGGGCGGGGTGGGGGGGTGTCCCTGCTATAAAGCGCAGCCGCCTCCCGCGGCGCCCGGCAAGGCTGGGACCCCGGGCGGTCGGACGGGACGGCCCCGGTCGGACCTCGGAACGTGCCGGCTGAGAAATTCGAAGCCCTCGGTTCCCCCCGGGTCGGAGCGGTAGCGGGTGGGGGCGCAGGCCCGGGGGATGCTGGGCTCGGTGAAGATGGAGGCCCATGACCTGGCCGAGTGGAGCTACTACCCGGAGGCGGGCGAGGTGTGTCCTCGGGGATGGCGGAGCGGGAAGTGGGAATCAGGTTGCGGGCTTGAATTGGGACAAGGATAGGTGTATGGGATCAAATGGGGTTCCCAACTAGAGTTGAGGAGCGGGTGACTAGAGACACCGAGACCAGGTGTAGGAGGCAGCGACGGGGGCAAGGCATCGGAGCTCGGTTTAGGAAAGCTCGTCGGCTTAAACGGGAATCATGAAAATTCAGGCAAGGGTCAGGTCATAGTTAAACTTGAGGGCTATGTTGGGGACCGAAAATCCGAAAGATTTAAATTAATAAACCAAAGATAGGACTTAGCTCCGGGATAGGGGACAGAGATGGGGGATTAGGGAATGGGGTTCAAAACTGGGGGAAAAGACATGAACTAAGATGGGAGAAGGGAGGTCACCATTAAGGAAAGTCTTAAATGAGCGCTCAAGGTTAGAACATAGTGTTAAAGATGGGGGTTCTTGGGTAGAAACCAGAATTGGAGTTCATGGATAAGGAGCCCCGTGGTGATCTAAGATAAAGTCAGAAATAGGGATTGGTGCTCAGAGATAGATGGAGGTGCGCAGAGGTGAAGCTTGGTTTGGGAACTCTGAAATAAAAGGTGGGTTAGAGTTGGGGCTCAGATAGATGGTGGTCCACATGGGGTCAGAGTTGAAAGCTGGAGGAGTGGGCAAGAGCCTTGGCAGGAGAGGGGTCAATCTTCTTCCACCACCCCATCCCTATTCATGACCCTCACCCCTCTCAACTGAACTTCAGTGGTTTAATTGTTATTAGAGACCCTCAGCAGGGATACTCCTTGTTGAAGACTGGGAAGTTTCAGATTTTGGGTCTCCCTCCCCCTCGCTTCCCGCACTCTCCAGTAATTGCTAATGTCCTCACCAGCCCCATCTCTGACTAGGTTGCCTGGGAGTAGGGGGCGGGGTGTATCCTCACCCCAGCAGACAGAAAGTCCTTCCCCAAGTCTTACTGTCATTCCTCTTGCTGCAAGAGCTCCTTCTTAGTTTGCTCTCTCTATGGTGGAGTGGGGAGCTGGATCCCTGTCAGAAGGTTATGGAGGTCTGGACGCTTGGGTTCCTAACCTGGAAGGGGACTGTGGGCTTCAGATGGGGGTGTGGGGCTGGAATGGCCGAGTTCTCTTAAGAGACCGGATCTGGGAGTTACAGAAGCCCCAGCGTGTCTGAGTCCTGGATCTAGGATTGGAAGTTATAGGGTGGGACTCCTGGATCCCCAGGCCCGCAGGGCTTGGAAGGGTGCCCAGGAGGGGCCAGTCCTGGGACTGTGGAATTGTGAAGTGCCCGTGAGGTGGGGTAGGCTCACCAGAGAAGGGATGGGGAGTGTTGAAAGGTGGAGGTGAAATGGCTGGAGATGTCAGTTGTATGGTGGGGGAAGGCAGAGACCAGGTTGGAGGGTGGAGGCTCCCAGGACAGGGTATCCTAGTTGAGCTTCCAGAGAGTTCAGAGCCAGGGAACATGATTTAAGGAGACTACGCCTTAGTGTTGGGAGACAGATCTTAAGAAGTAAATTGTGGATGTCTAGGATGGAGAAGTATTTGGGGCACAGTCTGAAGTTTAGGGGACAATTTATGTGGACATCATGTCAGAAATCGAGAAGCAGTCTAGAGAAGATGAGAATTATCAGAATTTGGGAGCAAATTTTGAGAGTCAACATAAAGGGGGCATAAGATGAAAATACTGCCTGAGAGTCTCCCCAGTCTTCCCATCAGCGGAGCCACCTCCTCCCCTTAGGTCAGAACAATGGGGAGAGAAACATCTGTACTCACTCAGCCAACTGAGAACTGTGAGGGTCCCCCAACTGCTTCCTGCCCCTAGCCCCCTCCTGCTGGGGTGATTGACACCCCCAGGCTGGCTCCCTGGCTGGAAGGAAATTGGGAAGTTATCACCCTGGGCTGTCCCCATTGGCCTGTGGTTCTCAAAGATCAGCTGGACCAACTGCTCCCCCATTTTTAGAGATGGAAAATCTGAGCCTTTCTGGGTGTTCAGGGCTGGGACTGGGACTGGAAACTAGGCTTCTAGCTTCATACTGCCTGCCCCTGCTCCCTGTCACACCCTTCCACCCTTCTCCAGAGACAATAAGGAAATGAAAGGGGAGAAATTCCAGTCTCCTGGGGTGGGGGTGCAGGTCCCCTGAGGGCTTCCCCCCAATCTCAGCCCCGCCCTGGCAGGGGAGATCCGGCTCAGTCCCGGACACTGGGGGTTCATCCCAGCCCCGGGGCGTGGGAAAGCCTAGGGTGGATTAGGGCAGCTGGAGCACTTGAGGTCAGACCTCAAGGAGGACTTCCGGGTGGGTGGGGAGCCAGAAAAGGAGGACCCTGGGGTCCTAGTCTGCCTTCCTCTGTGATAAAAGAGAGCCTGACTGGGTTAGGGGGGTGCTGAGGGATGTGGGAACTCTGGAACCCTCTAGTCCATCACTTTCTCTTCTCATCTCTGAAGGACTCTCTTCCCTTATTCTGGGTTGGGGGGCAGAACCAGCAACCCGGAAGGAGACCATTGCATGGGAGAGGGGAGTAGCTGTGGCTCCAGGGTCCATGTGAGACTTCTGGGGAGATAGTGATGCTGAGGAAGGGAGACAGAGACAGGGAGAGAGGTGGGGGAGGAAAAGGGGATAGAGAGACAGAGAGAGGGATAGTGCCCAGGAAGGGGTGGGGAGAGAGGAGGGCGACCAGGAGAAGGAGGTGCAAGACGCAGAGGAGACCGAGGGAGTGTGGAGAGGAAAAGTGAAAGAGATGGGGCTGGTAGAAACAGAGAGGGCTCAGTGGATGCGGGAAAGAGAGAAGAGGAGAAAGGGAGACATTGCAGGAGGGAGACGTGGGGACAAGGAGTGGGTACAGAGGTAGTGAGACAGGACAAGAGGTGGAGGGTGACCTGCAGAGCCAGTGGGGAGATCAGGGACCTGGGAGAGCAGAGCCGCCTGGACAGATGGAGCAGAGAGAGTGGAGAGTTGTTCTGCTGGAATTCAGAATAGGGTTAGTTGCCACCTGTCCCTCATGCCCTGAGTGACCCTGGTGATTCACTTTTCTCTCTGGACCTTGGAACCCTTCCAGTGACAGGGGACAAGAGGGGACCCACTGACTCACAGCTCTCGCCGGAGCTCTAGCAGCACACCAGTGCCATGAGACCCCAGCTAGGGAAGGGAGTGGGGCAAATAAGGGCAGATGGAGGGTTGAGGGAGAAAGGATGGAACACAGTGGGTGGGAGGGGTAAGTATATGCAGAAAGGGAGAAATCACCATTCACCAGGCTTCAAGATTTGTTTGTTTATCTTGTTTTCTTCTTGCTAGACTGTCAGCTCCATGATGGCAAGCATTTCAGTCTGTCTTGGTCACTGCTTTTACAGCATGATCCGAAACAGTCTGGAGCCGGTCTCCCTGGAGTCAGAATCCCAGTTCTGCCCCTTCCTTGCTGTGTGAGCTTGGACAACTTCTCTGGGCCTTAGCTTACTCAGATGTACAGTGGGCATCACAATAGCTTTTCCTCCATAACGAGACCCTAATAATTAAAGACCTTTCCTGTGAAGTGCTTGGAGCAGTGCCTGGTACAGAGTAGGTGGCCAATAAATATTTGTTCATTGAATGAAAAAATATATAAAGGGTTAAGGAGACGTAGTAATGTCTACCATATTTCATTGAGCTAAGATGCACGTTCTTTTCCCCACTTGAACATTTCTGAAAATAGAATGGGTTTTACAGTCAACTGGGCATCGAGGGATTATAAATTGACAGTGTTTGTTTCCTGTTCTTATTGATACCTAAAATTACACTGTAGTTTTATGTCTTAGATTTGATGACATATAGTAAATAAATGATACAAGGTTGATACATGATTTCTGATACTGCAATGTTTTTGTCGTATAAAAACTGCCATTTTATAACCCAAATGACTGATAGAGAATACACGTAGAGATTAGATTAGTACATAAATCAGTGGTCTCAGGACCTCTTTACACATGTAAAAATAACTGAGGACCCTAGTTTTTGTTGATGTGGGTCATGTCTATCAATAGTCATCACATTCGAATCAAAACAAATTTAAACATGGCAACGGTTTGTTAGTATAAATCATGTATTTTTATTAAAATAACTGTATTTCAAAACAGCGAGGGGAGAGGCTCCGTTCCATTTTTGCAAATCTCTTTGGTGTCTGGTTCAGTAAGAGACAGCTGGATTCTCATAGCTGCTTCTGTATTCGGTGTGTTGCAATGTTAACATGTCATACGGCTTCTGGAAAACTCTGCTGTACGCTCATGAAAGAGAGGGAAAAGAGGCTAATAATACCTTAGAACTGTATGGAAATAGTTTTGATTTAATGGACACTTTGTAAAAGTGTCTCGGAGGCTCCACGGGCTGTCCGGGACCACCCTTTGAAAACCATGTGAAGCGTGAGCTCCAGTATATGGGAGTCTGGGGTGGGGTTGCGCATGTGGCAGCGGAGGAGAGAGGGACTCCGAGAGACAGCTCTCCAAGACAGAGGTCAAGATGGAAGGGACGTGAAGAGGCAAGCGGACAGATGGATGCACAGTGCCGTCCAGCGACCCTTGCCAACAAGCAGAGTGAAGATTTACTGACCCCCCCATCTTTCTCTCCCTGCAGGTCTACTCTCCAGTGACCCCAGTGCCCACCATGGCCCCCCTCAACTCCTACATGACCCTCAACCCTCTGAGCTCTCCCTACCCCCCAGGGGGGCTCCCTGCCTCCCCACTCCCCTCAGGACCCCTGGCTCCCCCTGCCCCCACTGCACCCCTGGGGCCCACCTTCCCGGGCCTGGGTGCCAGCAGCGGTGGGGGCAGCAGCTCAGGGTATGGGGGCCCGGGGCCGGGGCTGGTACCTGGGAAGGAGATGCCAAAAGGGTACCGACGGCCCCTGGCACACGCCAAGCCGCCGTATTCCTACATCTCGCTCATCACCATGGCCATCCAGCAGGCGCCCGGCAAGATGCTGACCCTGAGTGAGATCTACCAGTGGATCATGGACCTTTTCCCCTACTACCGGGAGAACCAGCAGCGCTGGCAGAACTCCATCCGCCACTCGCTGTCTTTCAACGACTGCTTCGTCAAGGTGGCCCGCTCCCCAGACAAGCCGGGCAAGGGCTCCTACTGGGCCCTGCACCCCAGCTCAGGGAACATGTTCGAGAACGGCTGCTACCTGCGCCGCCAGAAGCGCTTCAAGCTGGAGGAGAAGGTGAAGAAAGCGGGCGGTGGGACCTCCACCCCCAGGAACAGTGCAGCCACCTCGACCACCGGCTCTTCCGCCACAGTCACCTCGCCGCCCCAGCCCCAGCCTCCACCCCCCGAGTCTGAGGCCCAGGGTGGGGAAGATGCGGGGGCTCTAGACTGTGGCTCACCCCCTTCCTCCACACCCTACTTCACGGGCCTGGAGCTCCCAGGGGAGCTGAAGTTGGATGCTCCCTATAACTTCAACCACCCTTTCTCCATCAACAACCTGATGTCGGAACAGACACCGGCACCTCCCAAACTGGACATGGGGTTTGGGGGCTACGGGGCAGAAGGTGGCGAGCCTGGGGTCTACTACCAGAGCCTCTATTCCCGCTCTCTGCTTAACGCCTCCTAGCAGGGGGATGGGATCATGGTGGCTGGAGTATGGCTGGAGCTCACGACATCAGGCTCTCGGGGCTTGATCCTCCTGGTGACACTTTGCTTGTCCCATCAGTTAACATCTTGGTTGGTCTATTACTGTGGTGACTGCCATCTCTGCGGGCATCGTGTCCATCCTCTGGGTACCGTGAAGACTGCTGTTGACGCCCTGGTGGGCCCATTGGGTACCGTGAACACCGCCGTGTTGATTGATGGTATCGGTGACCCGTTGGGTGCTCTGATGGCTGTCATCTGGGATGACATCTTGGTTGGCCCTTTGGGCACGATGGTGATGCCATTTCAGTTACATCTTCTTTGGCACGTTGGATGCTGTGATCACTTCCTTTTTGGTGGACTTCTTGGGGTAGTAGATGCCAAGTTGGCCACCAAACTGCATAACATCTGTCTTGACCTGTTGGGGGTTACGGTGGCCACCACCTTGGCGGGTCAACCTAACCAGTGTACCATGGTGCACCGTGATGGCCACCGCAGCCCATGTTGGCCATTCTTCACTGTCTCTTTGGTGGGAGTTGAGTGAGGGGTGGAGATGAGAATACTCCTTGGTTTCTCTGGAGCCATTCCCCCTCTGGATCAGGAGAAACCAGAAAGGACTGGTTAGGGGGAGGGGAATTTCTACTGAAGTCTGGCTCTTGCCTGGGAAGTGGGATACTGGCTGTCTTTGACCATTAAAGGCACCATTTCTGCCTCTTACCAAATGTCTCTTTTCCTTGGTGGGTGGGCGCTGTGGGGCTTCACCACCAGAATTGTTGTTCCTCTGTCTTCTTCCTGCCCCCAAAAGCCGGCTGCCTCTGGGGGAGGGGATGGGGTAGGCATCAACCTGACCTTTGGCTCTTTGCTGTCCCTGACCCCAAGGACAGTTTACTCACAGATAGCAGCCCCCGCAGCAGTGGGGCCAGGGCAGCAGGGGGAGGTGGCTTTGTGGTGACCAAGGCCACCTCCCCACCCCCACTCCCCAGACACACATCGCTAGCTCTGAGGTTCAGGGAGCCTGGGAGCTGCTCAATTTTTTGTTAAGCTGGGGAGGAGGAGAAAGGACAGACGTTGAAGGAGACAGCGTGTGTTGGAGTTTATCTGTGTGTCTGTGCCTCTGTGGGTCATAGGGCATCACTGTGCCCACTGAGGTCCCTGTGGTCTGCTACAGGATGTTACCTATTTGTATCCCTCAATTGTGTGGGTCTGTATGTCTGTCCGTACTTCGGGTGTATGCTTCCTGGGGTGTCTCAGGATATCAGACTCTTGCATGTGTGTGTTTATGGTTTTGGGCGGGGGTTGTACACCTATCCCTGGGTCCCTCTGGGTCTCACACTGTTGGGTGTGTGTCTCTATGTCAGTTTGTCTGCGTCCCCGCTGCCTCAAGAGAGGCTGTGTTTGACTCCATTGGTACAGATCAGCCTGTGGTGTGTTTCATGTGTACCTCTGAGAATCAGCATCTGTATATTTAAAAGAAAGCCTGCCTGGGTTTGCATATATTGCCTGTCACTCTTGTGTGGAGGGTCTGCCGGCCCTGGCATGTGGCTGTCACTTTTGAAGGCAGGTATGTGGGGAGGGGGCTGAGTTCTCCTTTGGCTGCTGCGCTCCTCTGGGGTTGGCGTGTGGGTGTCTCTGGTCCTCCCTGTGTCTCCCTGGGCTCTGAGTCTGGTGCCTGTTGCTCAGCTGTTGGGAGGGCCTGTCTCTCTGGGGAACACAACTGTATACTCCATGCCTCTCATTTCACAGAGTGGAAACTGAGGCCCAGATGGAGAAGGGACAGGGCCAACCATATTCAGCCAGGATGGAGCAGGTGGGCCGCACCGGTCTGATTTTTGTCTTTTCCTTATTTTGTGTTTGTCTCACTCGACCACTGGTTCCTTAGCCACCATTCAGTTGGCTCATTCAAAGACCAAAGGCTGTTTCCCCGTGTGTAATGTGTGTGTGTGTGTGTGTGTGTATGTGTGATGTCTCTCCCAGTTTCTGCGTGTCCATCTTTCTCTTTTATCTCTTAGTGTCATCCCTGTGTGTGTCACTCTGTCCCTAACTGTCTCTCTGGGCCTTCATCTCTGTCTCTTGGCTTTTTTGAAAATGTTGGCTCATCCTCTCCTGTGGTCTGCCTCACGCTTTCTCCCTCCTGCCTCCTCTGACTTGACTACGTCCCTCCCTCTCTCTGGGCCTCTGGCTCTGTCCCTCCTTCCCTCGCTCTCCTGAGGTTGGCCTCCCCGACTCCTTCTGCTCTCTGGTCTTGCTCCTCCTTCCCTGGCCTCCCTCTCCCAGCGCCCTGAGTTTCCGCCCCTACCTGCCACCTCGCAGGCCAGGCCCTCTATTTCTGTCACTGTGCCCGCCCAGCGGGCTGCGTGTCACCCCCGCCCCCTGCCATGCTGGCTCCAGGTCAGCCACCAGCCTCGCTGTCCTGGGCAGGCCGGGGAATTCCTCCTGGTTCCTGGAAAAAACAACTGGGGCAGAGAGAAAGGCCCTCAGTCTCCCCGGGTGCCCGCCCCCCTCCCTTGGGCCCAGGGGTCTCTCCCAGAGTCTGCCGGCCCGAGGCAGGAAGCTCTGTGGTTTCTGGCTTCTCCCAGGCGGCCTCCGGATCTGGCCCCCACCCCCCGGCCAACAGCCCAAATATTATTCCGCAGGAGGAGTCGGTGGCGGCGGGAGGAGGCCCAGGCTGAAAGAGGCTTTCAGGGCGGCCAGGCCTGGGGCTTCCTGTCCCCAGGCTCGGGCCTCAGGCCGCCCCAGAAGGGACCTCAGGTGGCCGTAGGGGCGGGTGTTGTTGTAGGGTCCTGGGGGGAGGGTGGGGCCATCCGTCAGGGCGTCTGGTGGCCACTGGCTAGGCTGGCGTGGGCAGGTGTGACCCCCACCCCAGGGACAGCCGGCTGACGTCCAGCATGGAAAAGTACCATGGTCAGACATGGGATGCATGGACAGACATGAGGACGCCAGGCATCAGGATGGAGGGACAGCCAGGAGGACACAGGGAAGCCTGGGCTGTGACAGATGGCCTGCACCCGGCCTGTGGTCCCCTGAAGTGACATGGTCCAAAGGAGGCAGCCATGGATAGGGAAACAGGGCCAGGACAGGGTCCCAGCTGTGGGCAGAGGGCCACTGGGATCCCAAGGCATGAAATAATAATGATGAAAAGACTCATGATAATAATAGTGACAGCTACTAGGGCTTATTGTGTCCAGCATTGTGTGAGCATTTAATAGACTGACCCAACCCTTTCTACCTCCTATTTTATTATTGGTGAAACTGAGGCATGAAGTGGTACAATGACTTGCACAAGGTCACACAGATAGTAAGTGGGGGAGCTAGGATTCAAACCCAGGCAGTCTAGCCCAGTCAGTGCCCTTCACTGCCATGCTGTTCTAGAACAGGGCAGGGCAGCCGCACGCAGGGGTCCTAGGGTCCCATGCCTGCCCTGACCCTCTGCCACAGGAGGAGGAGGGGCACGCCCAGAACCTAGCAGTCTGGGAGGCTTACGCATGTATGTGTGCACGTCCATGTCACTGTGTGCGTTGCTGGATGTCATACATCTTTCTCGGTGTCAGTGTGTCAGTACTGTGTCTGCAGGCTTACTTGTTACTCCGTGGTGTGTCTCTGGTCAGTGTGTTAGTGTGCGTTGTATGTGCCTGTATGTCCGTGCTTCAGTGTTTGTCACTGGGTTGGCATCACTGTGTGTATGCATGTGTGTCGCCATTCTGTGTCTTCTATGTGTCTGTCACCGTGTCCTCTGTCACTATGTTTAATCATTGTGTCTCCACGCTGACCAACACGTTTGTCTGTGATTGTGTCCAGATGTCCATCACTGTGTGTGTGTGTCACCGTTTGTTGCAGTGTGTCTGTTACTGGTTCTGTGGGTCTATTTATGTCTCTATCACTCTGGGTCTGCCTATATCTGTCCCTGTGTGTCACTGTGTCTGTCCCTGTATGTGTCACCATCTACCCAGGTGTCACCGTGAGTGTTACTCACCACCCAGGCCACAGGTGGGCGTGTCGGGCCCTCTGGTGCCAGGGCTGCGGCCCAGCCCATCCCACCCTCGCCTGCCATGGGACAGGCTGGGCGCCTGTTTGCAATGCCTGCCACAGGTAAACATCAAGATCCGGAACCCAAGGGCCACCTCCCTCACCTCCACTCCCTGGCCCTCCGCTTGCCCTGAACTGGGCTGGACCAGGGCCCCGCAGGCAGTGCCCCCAAACTGGAGATGTGCCCTGACCCTCTCTCATCCATGGTCACCAGCCTCCTTGAGTCTCCAGTGCCGGCCCAGCCCTGTCTGCTTCTTTCCCTCTGTTCTCTGGGTGTCTGCTGGCCTCTCTGATTCTTTGTCCCTGCTTCCTCTTACCTGGGTTCTTCTGTGTCTCTTCTTTTCTCTGAAATGACCCTTGTCTTCACTTCCACTGTCCCTCTACTTCTGACCTTTTCTGTCTTGTCTCAGTGAAGTGTGATTTCTCTGTTTCCCTGATGTCTCCAGTTAAGTCAGCTTTTCCTCTCTTCTGCTAGGTTACTAACTGGGCATCTCCTTGCCAATCTGTCTCTCTTTTGCACCTCCTAAGTGTCTCTTCCTCCTTCTGTCACCGTGTCCCACTCAGCCCAAGCCTCTCAGTCCTGGCCGCTACCTCCGAGCCCCCAGCCCCCACAGAGCATACCTCTGCCCTGCCCAGGCCCTTAGGGAAGTCTGTGGCCCCCAGCCTCCCATCCCCAGCCTGCTGGTATATATATAAAGGGATATGTACATATTATTTATATCTGTACCCAGGGACAGGAGGGGTAGACACTGGGACCTTTGTGTAGCTGCTGCCCGCTGCCTGCCTGCCCGCCACTCCTCTCCCTTGGTCCCTGCTGCCCGCCCGCCGCCACCCCTCAACCCCCCCAGCACAGAAAGGTTCCTGTGGGGCCTGCCAGCTTCCTCTGCCTGAGGTGTGAGTGGGCATACCATGGGCGAGGCGGGCAGGAGGGTCTGGGGGTTTTTCCAGCTCCAGGGAAGCTTTCTGGGTGGGGAGCTCTCTGGAAGGAATGGGACTTCTCAGCTGGGCTGTTGTCTGTCTGTCTGTCTGTCTGTCTGTCTATGTCTGCTGTCCCTGGGTGTCCTCGGATCCTTACCCGGCTTCTCTGTCGGGGGACTGTCCACCCATCTAATGTCATCCTGACTTTTTCTCTGTCAGTTGGGTCTCATTCACTGGTGCGCCTACCATCTTGGGGCATATGTACGAAGTCCTCTGATGAATCCTGAGTGCACAGATGAATGAGGTGCTGTCCATCCTACCTGATTCTTTGCCATTTCTGTCTCATTTGCTCCATCCTTTCAGTCAGTGCCTGAAACCCTCAACCTGTTCTCATTAAAACAAAACCCAAAGTCCTTACCATGGCCCACAAGGCTCCTGATGCTCCCCTGCCATTCTGATGACCTCATTCTTACGACTCTCCCTCTTCCCATAGCTGCACTGGCCACCTGGCTGCGTTTGTAACATGCCAAACAAGCTCCCACCTCAGAGCCTTTGCACATGCTGTTCCCAGATTTCCCCAGGCTCCCTTGCTCCCTCCCTCCCTTCAGTTCTATTATCTCCTCAGTGAGCCCTTCCCTACTTCCCTCTTTAGGATAGCAATCTCCATCATTCTCTATTCTCTTTTCCTGGCATATTTTTTTCTTCTTAGGACTTACTGCTCTATGGCTGTCACATTTGATGGTTCCATCTCCATATCCCACCCAAATGTCAGCCCCTTGAA